TCAGAATGGGATCAGAGAAAGTTAAGATAAAGGAGTGCTTGTAAGAGCTTTCCTGAGGTCTCACCTTCACTACCTCCTCGGGGCAGAGGAAACAGCTTTTTCCGAAGCTATCCTTTACACTGAAGGTATACTCTTAAAGCTGAGAAATCAAAGGATTTTAGAAAACAATTAATTGAAAATTTCCAAAGAGATAAGAGCTTGCTATGGGAGGAGGCAACAGAGAAAGTAAACGTGATATTTCCCAGCCTTTTTTTCTAAATGGTTGCTAGTGAGTTTCTTATCCATTAACCAAATATTTTTTAACTTGTTTTCATACAGAAGAGACCGCATGTTTGAACAAGTCAACCAACTGAAGTGTATATGGAGAAAGCTAATTACCTCCCCCTCCTCACCGCTAATCTTAAACAATCTTAAGTTTTGGGTGTCCTTACACATCTTTCTCCAAGGTCATACACATAGGGCTTCTTTTTTAAAATCGGAAATGAAATACAGTCATACAACACATGATACGGTGCAACCAGCTTTTATTTTACGTATTTTTAATATGTCATGCACAGCCCTCACAAAATAATCCATACTATGTATGTATCTCATTTTAATCATTTTACTAATGAACATTTGTTGCTTCTAATTTCTTTACTGTAAAAAATTCTACAACAAACATCCTTACCCACAGACCCTTACATGTTTTTCTTTCCGTAAAACAAGGTTGCAAATGTGGGATTGTTGGGTTACAAGGCGCCTGTGCTCCAAACTGTCACAGAAACCATCTGCTTTTCCCAAAGGTTGTAACAATTCACACTTGCACCAAAAGAGTCTGAGAATTCCCACCCTGCCCCCCATCTAACCGAGAGTATCACCAGCCTTTTAAAAGATGTATCAATCGTATGGACAGGAAATAATATATGTTTTTAAATTGTATTTCTCTGGCCACTAGGGAGGTTGAGAAGAGACGCATCCCTTCTTCTGGGAATTGCCGGGTCACATCCTTTTCTCATCTTTCTACAGTGTTGTATTTCAGTACTACTGTTTCATCACATACTCATCTCCCCGCCCCACCCCCACCCTGGCTACTAGATACACAAAGTACAAAAGAGTAAGGACAAAAGAGTATCACCTCCCAGGAACACAATGTGTAGGCATTGTGAGGGCAGGGGATATCTTCTCAGCATAAAGCACATGCTAAACCCTCAAAAACATTCACTGAATAAGTGAGTAAACAGGTAGGGAATTATGTTTGTTAAAATTGCAGCTAAAAGAGTAAAAAGTAAATTACTAATGGTCATTCCTTGTTCTACATTTTCAGAACAGCATCCATTTGGCTGAAATTAAATTGTTGGTTAAGAGAAAAACCAAAACCATGCTCTTGGCACTGTCTCTGAAACTCCACTGTGAAATGGGTGGCAAATGAGCCCAGTCCCAATTCATAGCTCTGGGCGACACATAAATAAAGCCTCTCACAACTAAAGTATTTTGTACCCAGCCTTGTCCACCAGCTGTCATTCAAATGGCACCTGCCACTGAGCCAAAGACTGTCAGGGTACTCAATGCACAAGAGCGGCCTACCTTAAGCACGCCATCTCCCCGTCCTCCACCCCGACTTTTTTGCCTTTCTCCAGCTTATTGAGGAGCGGGTGTGGGCCCTGCAGGGGAAATCTGGTTGAGTTCAGATTCCTTAACTCTTTGAACTTTAAGCAATACATCTGGTCATACCCACCATTTATCCCTATTATTTGTAATAGGTATGTTTGGCTTATGTTTCAACTAGTCTCCTTATTAGATACAAAAGTTATATGATTCAAAGTTCTGGGGAAAGTACTGTTATAAAAAGGTACAGGTGGGTATGTTAGGCTATAATTCCAGCCCTGCTTATTATGTTTTCCTTCTTGTCTTTAAAATTTTTGTACCTAATAAAAATAACTGAATTATTTAACTCTTTTTCAGTACTTCCTGTACTGGCCAACAGCCACTCAAAATCACCAAAAAACATTATGAGTCAAAACTTCTGAAGCAATAATGTCACAGATCACAAGTTGCAGACACTGTCTTAAGAGTCTGGACATGCCACACATGCATCACGATGCCACTACACAGACTGGAAAGAGACAGGCAACTTTCCAAAACGCATACTCATTTTCTAACCTTTTGAAGTTACAAAATCTTTTTTTTTTTTTTTAACTTTTCATAGAAACGGAGATGGTGTCACCCAGGCTGGAGTGCAGTGGGCGATCTCAGCTCACTACAACCTCCACCTCCTGGGTTCAAGCGATTCTCCTGCCTCACCCTCCTGAGTAGCTCGGACTATAGGTGTGTGCCACCAAGCCCGGCTAATTTTTTGTATTTTACTAGTGATGGGGTTTCACCATATTGGCCAAGATGGTCTTGATCTCCTGACCTCGTGATCTGCCCACCTCGGACTCCCAAAGTGCTGGGATTGCAGGCATGAGCCACTGCACCCGGCCACAAAATCTTAAAAGGGAAGAAAAAAATGCAAGAACTTTGGTCAAGCCATGAAGTTATGGTAAGAATCAGGGTGGCCAGGTGCGGTGGCTCGTGCCTATAATCCCAGTACCCTGGGAGGCCCAGACGGGTGGATAATCTGAGGTCAGGAATTCAAGATCAGCCTGGTCAACCTGGTGAAACGCTGTCTCTACTAATAATATGAAAATTAGCTGGGTGTGGTGGTGCATGCCTATAATTCCAGCTACTTGGAAGGCTGAGGTGACAGAGCAAGACTCCATCTCAAAAAAAAAGAATCAGGCAAGAGGCAACAAAGCACAATTTATAACAATTTGTTGAGAGAGGCATAAAAAAATGATAAAAATTAAGGTAGTAAACTTGGGAATAAAGATTGGAGAGTTTGCAATAAAGCTTCTCTAATTTTTATTATATAAAGTTTAACATATGCTTAAAATATATGTGGTATATATGTAGTTAAAAAACAATGCTAAAATGCATAAATACATATTTAGATACACAGGGTTGTTTCCTGAGCATAGTTGGTAAAATCATATTGTTCATCACGTGTAATCGTCCTTTACAGCTCTAAGGAACTAATGATGTTCCGGGAGTGAGGGGTGAAGGAGGGGGAAATCAGATTAATTTTGAGATAGAAAAAAAATACTGACTAGAAAATACCATACCCACCTCTTCCTAAACCCTAACTTCACTTAAAAATACTCTAGGGAACAGTGTTTGCAAAACCTGAATGAGTCAGCAGTAGGTATGAGTTCAAAACACATATACAGCCTATACCTGTACAGAATATCCCTAGTAACTCATTCAAAGGGGTCAAGTTTTTTAAAGTTCACCTTCTCTTTGGAGGTAGAAGCCCCACATCAATGCCAAAAAGAGAGACTCTCTAATACTCTTTGGAATCTCCCTGACAACTTGAAAGAAACCAGTGGCTTCCCCAGTTTGAAGAGACCTGTTTCTGTGACTAAGGTCCTCCCCCTAAAACTGGGAACTTAAACTGATTCCTCTTCTAAATCAGCTATGCTAATTTTGGAAAAATGTATCTTGGGCTCTGGGTGTTTTCCACTATTCTAGTGCTCAATGAAAAAAAAAAAGGCATTCGTGTAGGCATCTCTCTTCTCTCAAGGCCACCTGTCACACTCACACCCACAGCTATCCTCTGGTTTCACATAGGACTCCCAAATAAGCAATCAAGGTAGATCAAATCTTGGCTGACGTTCATATCGAAGACACTTTCGCAGGCACTTCTCGAAATGAATGAGGGAAAGAGCTGCCTAATCCCTAACATCTCCAGGCACATCTCCCACAGGAGAGCCTCTTCCCTCTCTCTGCACACCTAACCCCCAAACCCAGAGGTTTTTGTGGTCGCTTCTAGCCTCTTCAATGACGAAGATCCGAAGTGCCAACAAGACCTCAATACTATGACATCACTTCAGTAACACGCTAAGGAGAACACGTTCCTGCACTCAGCTGCCTGTAGGTCAGCAAATACGCCCCTACCCTGCCCCTTCACAAAGCAGAGGTGACAGTCTATTTCAAAAGTAAAGATTCCCCACTCCCGCTTCCTCCTTACTCCGGAGGTCACCAGCTCCAAGCTCTGGAGAAGGGAGGTCAGCATGCAACCCGACAATGCCGCAACTCAACACACACAGGCACTATTAGAAGAAAAAGTAAGTGGTACGTACAGCACCAGGGCAATTTATGTGTATTTTGGGGTCCACTTCACCAGGACATCATCCCTACCCATCTTTAATTATATCTTTGACATCGCTCATTCCTCTCTGATCTTCTGGAAACACCCAGAAGTTTTCACTATAAGACACAGGAATTCTGACCTAAGTTGTCCCAGCTCTTCACGGACAGCAAGAATCCAAGTTTCCCCACGCGTCACCTGGAGCCCCAACTTCTGGAAAGGCCCTCCTTTCCTCGCCTCCAGGAGCTGACGGAGCAGAGCACGCAGCCGCGGACGCTACTGCTGTCGCCGCCAAAGCCAAGGAGGCGACTGGAAGCTCAGGCTGGTTGGTGGCCTCGGGCGACCACAGCCAGGCCCTGGTTCCGATCCGCGAACCAAGGCGCCTCCTCTCCCCCAGGGAGTGAGCTCCCGCGCCCCGCGGAGCACTCAGGCGAGCCCGGGCGCCAGGAGAACGCTCTGCACTCGGCGCCCAGCCCCGGGACGCCGCCAAGCGCACGGCTCCGGAGCGACTGCGGGGAAGAGGGGCGTGTTCCCCGAGCCTCCGAGCCCCAAGGCAGGGTCCAAGCGGGACAGCTGAAGGCGGCAAGCCGAGCACGCGGTCCGTGACGGCGGCTCTCGGCCCCAAACCCCGCCGGCCGGCGTGGCGACGCGCTGTAGCCGGCGCGCCCTTGCGGGGACAGCAGTCGTGCGCGCCTTGCACGGCCGCCTCCGCGCCTGCCTCGGTGCGCAAACTTTCCCGGCGACAACCGCTCAGGCCTCTCCGGCGGGGGCGCCGCGCTCTCCCCTGGGCCCAGAAACTGCTCGCCCCCTCCCCTCCACAGCCAAGACCCACTGAAAATATGGCGCCCTCGAAAGTCGCTCCTCGATCCCCTCAGGTTTCCCGAAATGCCCGTCTCCAGGTCCCTTCAGCTCCCAACGGGCGCGAAATTTCAGCTCGTGGGACCGAGGAAGGAGAGGGAGCCGCTGAGTCTGTGTGAGACCGGCCGTACTGGATGCAGTCTGTCCCCGCTGTCGGCCCGGCACTGCCCCCGTCGCTCAGCGGCCAGCAGTTCGCCCGTGGCGAGACTGCCAAGTAAAGGGCAGTCGTGGATCGGCAGGTCTGAGTGTCCGGCACTGGAAAAGGAGCTCCGCACTGGCGGACTGTCTCAGCCCAGAGCCTCGGCGGGAGACTTGTTTGCAAAGTGGCGCTGGAGTCCGGGCGGCCAGTGCTGGAATGAAGCCGATCAGCCCGCGCCAACTCGCCTGGCGCGGGGGCCCGGCCGGGGTCGAGGGGACACTACGCAGGCGGGGCCGCTTTTCAAAAGCCCAGTTACCGGAAACCCAGCGACAGCCCCAGAGGGAACCGGCCGCCCACGGCCAGGAATCCGCTCCCTGGCGCCGGCTGCGAGGCTGTCTGCAAATCGCTGCGCCCGGGTCCAGTGCAGAGAAACATACATGTGCAATAGACAGGTGCATTAATTTCATTTTATTTTCATTTTCCTGCAAGAAGCCCTCCTAGACCAGCAAATCTGAGCGCTTTACGGGTTTTTCCTGCATTGGCATCACTCACGAGAAGCAAAAGGGAGGAAAAAAAAACACCCGTATTTTCCTTCTGGAGAGGGGAGGGAAAAGACACGAGAAATTCATGCAACGTGCATGCAGCTGGAGGAAGGAAAACCCGAGTGAGCCGTGCGCCTTACCGGGGGATGCATTTACTGTCTCACTGCAGCGTGCCTGCCCGGGAGTGCAGCCCGCGTCCCCCCGCGCGCTGGGCGACCACTCCGCTCCCGCAGCCGCCTCAGCCGCTGCTGCTACCGCCGCCGCTGGCTCCGGGCGCGGAACAAGAGCCGAGGGCGAGCGCGAGCGCACGGCCCGCGAGCGCTGGGAGGGCAGGAAGCGCGTCATCATTAGGGGACGGCGCGGCGCGGCACCGAGGCTGGGCGGCCGCCGAGGCTCGGGCGCCCCTCCTGGGTCTCTCCCCGAGTGGGGTGAGGCTGTAAGGGTCCGCGAGGGAGGGCGACGCAGCGGCCGAGCTGTCACGGGAAAAGGAGGGTCAGGGTGACCGCGGCTTCCCAGATCTGGGGCTCTGCTGTGTAAAGGGGATGACTGGAGGACGCGGCGTCTTGTGGGCTGGGGTCCCTGGGTCCGCAGTGCCTTCTCGGGACCTCTGGCCAGGTCCTGGGGGAAGTGAGGTGTGGCTGACCGGCGGGCGGTGAGGGCTTGCAAGAGGCGGAGGGCCGTGACCCCAGGCAAGCCTGCTCCTTTAAGCACAGGGACCCCGAAACCTTGCGGGTCAGGGGTCACTTAGGAATTTGGAGAACGACTATAGGGCTGAGTGTCGGCAGGCGCGTCCTCTGTTCACAAGAAGAAAATAATTTACTCCTGCTTGCCATTCCCTGAATAAAGTCAGTTATATACCTCTTAGGTTTACAGTCATTATTAGTCAATACTGTAAGTACCATAGAACAATGTGAAGGGTTATTTAAGGAGGTGAGGAGACAAGACGCTATACCATATGTTCCCATTTTTTACAAGTGTGATTTATGGAGAAACGCAGAAAAGACTGGATGAATAAACACCAATAAGTCTCAGTGATTGGTGGAATCCTGAGTGATTTTACTTATTTATCTGTAAGGGACACATTACTCTTGTAATTTAAAAAAAAAAAAAAAAGGGTTTCACCTTGTTGGCCAGACTGGTCTTGAATCCCTGACCTCAGGTGATCCTCTTTTTAAAAAAATAAGAAAAGAATTAGCCATGACCCCTTTACTCCTAACACTTTGGGAGGCCAAAGCAGGAAGATCTCAAGCCCAAGGAGTTTAAGATTGGCCTGGGCAATATAGGAAGACTCCATCTCTACAAAAAATTTTTAAAATTAGCCGGGTGTGGTGGCGTATGCCTGTAGTCCCAGCTACTGGGGAGAATGTTGGGAGGATCACTTGAGCCCAGAAGCTTGAAGGCTGCAGGCAGCGGGATGGCACCACTGCACTCCAGCCTGGATGACAGAGCGGGACCCAGTAGCAGAAAGAAAAAAAAAGGAAAGACCACATTTTTCCATTCCAGTACAGAATGACCAGGATAGGCCTCTCTCCAAGAAATAGGTAGCAAGTCTCTTCAGTTACTCGAAAGTACTGGCCACTTTTTAGTGTCTCAGAGAATGAAACTGTTGTCACCATAAACCAGAGAGTGAATTGATTTTGTAAATAATCGAAATTATTTTGAATAATTCCATTGGGGTATGGGATAAGGCTGGACATTCCGTAAGAACAATAGCCTGTCCTTGTCCGGGCTGATAAAGCGGACTGTATCATAACAGCAAAGACCTTTACAAGCTTAGGGTACAACTTTGTAACTTACTGCAGAAAATAATCGGTAAATCGAATGAAGTATAAATGCATAGTGAGAGAACCAGTTACTTGGCAACTTGAGAAAGTCCTAAAAGTTGCAGGGCACAATTTCTAATTGTACAGGAGAAGTATTTCTGTTCACCACATCTTTTTAAATTCAGCAGTCTCACAGAATAACTAATGGTGGCAGCAAGCCACCTCAGGGGATGGTTAAGAAGTACATGTTTATTGATTTCTGTAACAACCTGGTCATAAGCTCACTAAATTAATGCCACCTAAATTGTTCCTTGGTTTACTAACAAAGAATAACCATATTTTTATGGTCCGAATGCCAGGTATACATAAAAGGCTTATCAAGAAGGAGTGGGGGAAAAAAAGTGGTTGCAACTAAAGTGATTTTCCCCTTCTACTTAGTCCTCAGTTCATAGGGCCCAATAGCTTCCCAGCAAGCGTCTCAAATTCTTTCTGACACCTGGATTTCAAGAGTCTCCATTGCTAAATCCATCCTCCTGGAAGTATCCCCACACTTTTCCACTACCCATCAGTGAGATGCCATTCAGTATTAGGAGCTACATTTCATGAGAACAAGAACTTTATCTGTATGCTAAATCCATCCTCCTGGAAGTATCCCCACACTTTTCCACTACCCATCAGTGAGATGCCATTCAGTATTAGGAGCTACATTTCATGAGAACAAGAACTTTATCTGTATCTCTGTGTCTGAAAGAGCCCGGCACATAGTATTTAATAGGTGCTCAGTAAAAATCTGTTTTATGAAAATAGCCTTATTTGTTCACTGTTTACTAGTTCTTGAAATGTGAAAAGTTATATCTCCTATTAGAGTGTCAGCACAATTCTGGGATGCTAAGATCCTGTAGAGTTACAGCCTTGGTTTGGTTCAGTTACTTTTCAAAGTTGCAGCTAAATCCTAAAGCATTCAGAAGGGTGAGGTGCAGGTGTCTGAATATTTGTGCATTAATAATCTAATTAGCACTATCTTGTGGCTTTCCAAGGTCAATTAAATACTTTCCCCCAGTGAGAAAGAACAACCTTAGAACTCAGCTTTAGTTCTAGCTTCAAACCAATTGGCTTTGGCTGCTTCTATATTTTACAGCTCCTCATTTTTCTAAACACTCTTAGGACTTCAAAGCCATTTACTCTTTTTTTGTTTTTGTTTTTAGAGAAATCAACTAACCATTCTATTATTACATCTAGCATATTTTTCAAAAATTTCCACAGCATAATAAAAGCGATTTTGCTAGTAACTTTTACTAACTTTTCTGAAATTGAGATACCTACCTAGACCTAAAAAGAGTTATTTCTAAATTTAGAGTCAGCTGCTAGTAGTCTGTCTTTACTGTACACAATGATCATAGTTATTTGTAGACCAGAAAAAAAAAAAGCCTAACTTTTTTTAAACAAGGTTACATTTTGGGGCTTTGTCTCTACCCAGCGTAGGAAAACATGATGGGAGATAAAACTTTCCATCTAAGCAATTTCTCTAGCCTTTACAACCTCTTGCTTCTGCCAAGCAGATCTTAACTAACAAGATAACACATTTTGTATGAATACAGAGTGGAACATTTGGGGAGGTAAGTCAGAGATAGCTTCCAATCACTTATAATAAATATACCTGGAACAAAAAACCATTCTCTCCACAAGTTAGATTTGTAATTATCAAATTAAACATTGCTTGGTGCTGAAGAGCTGGATGCTAAGAGATTGCCCCCCTCCTCCCATCCCACTGAGCTTTAACCTCCTGACTTCCTAGCACATGTAGGTATTGGGGGTCACTTAGCTCAGCTTTCATAGCTGAGCAAATTCAACTGTGTCAAAGTTGAAAAAATAGAAGAAATTCCACCAAATATTTTGTTTCAGTTTATTTATAAGAGCATATTTTGTGCCATATAAAAATATTTTAAAGGGCTCCCTTGATACAATATACCAACAGTTCATGATTTCCTGTCCTTTCAAAAATGTTTGTATCCTTCCCAAGAGCAAGGGAGGTAGGACCCACATTTTCTTTTTTTTTTTTCTTTTTAAAATACTTCTTTTTTTTTGAACTTTTTTTTTTTTTTCCACCATGTGCGGGCTATAGGGGAAGAAGGAACCGCATTTTCTAAAAATCGTCCATCATTCAGAACCAGACATGAAAAGAAGATACTTAGGCTTCAATTGTAATTTGATATCTTTAGGTTTGTAGAAATATCTTCACCTCTTTTCTAAGTTCCAGGAGGGCATATTAACCAAAAATTATAGTAGGAAACATTTTCTGACTTGTAGTACAGCATATAGTTCATACGTTATTTCTAATTCATTTGAAAAGCAAATGTTTGCAAAAATTAATATATTTTAGCTTTTTAGTTATCTCGAAGCATGGGACCTCATTTTATTCCTAACTAATCAGGATAGCATGACAGACATGGATTTAAATATCTTATTTAAAAGGGGTGATTAGGCTGGGCATGGTGGCTCATGCTTGCAATCCTAGCACTTTGAGAGGCCAAGATAGAAGGATCTCTTGAGGCCAAGAGTTTGAGACCAGCCTGGTCAACATAGCAAGACCCCATCTCTTTTATTTATTTATTTATTTATTTTTAAGAAAAAAAAAGAAAAAAGAGGAAATTGCTCCTATAGATTCAGGAAATGGTTATCATTGTGCCCAACACAGAACATGCTTGAGATTAATTTTTCTTCTCCTACATCATATAAAACATACTACAAAATGTACTTTGTCTCTGAAGCAACATATTGGGGTTCAGGGGTTCAGGGTGCCCTTAGCTCCTCTGAGAGGATGTTTCTTCAGGTTCTTGTTCTCCTGCCCTCTTAAGACTGAGAGAGGCGACCATGGCCCAGTGCCCAGTAAATGCCAGACTCAAAAGTGTTTGTAGAAAGTGATTTTATTTAAAGAGAGAGAGAAAC